ACATAATATTCAGTTTTGTTAAATGACACTTGTCAATAATTCAAATTTACACAATACAAATTCAATTAGTTTTGTCATATTATAAGCTCCATATGATAGTAGCTCATTTTCTTTGTTTTTGTAGCCGCATCTTCATCTTGACATTTGGCAATTAACTATAAAATCTCACTGCTTTTTTAAATTCTAGTTTGTGAAATGTGTGGATAAAGGCTGGAATGCACTACACAACTTTTCTAATTGGAATTTAAACACTATCCACCTTTTTTTCTAATGGGGTGGCACTTCCGGTATGGGTTCCACTCAAAAAGACTGAAACAAATCACTTCAAATCATGTTGCACTACAAACAATCCTTATCTGTCTGTTTGAATAAATGAGCTCCTTCATGTGCTGTTGTCAGATAACATAACATTCGGTATTGACATGGAATAACAAGAGTATATGGCAAGAGCTCTTTTCAATTCGCTGCATTCTTTTCCTCCTTATTATTTGAATTTTTCCTTTGTATTCTTCTGTAACAGTATGAAAAAAGAAAACATATATACTCTGTGTTTGTGGTCTTCTCTCCCAATTTAATTTACGATATAAACCATGAATAACTCACTGGAATGTATTAAGAATCTCTCCTCCCAAACTCTTCATGTCTTTTTCCAGGCTTGTTTTCACATGGATGCTTTAAAATGTAATTGTCTCCCCTTTTCACTACTAATCCCTATTAGCATCGTTTACTGAAATGTTTCTAAAGCAGGTACATCCAGTATTTGTTATCTGTCAAAATGACGGAAATCACTTTGAAATATCACAGTCTGAAATATTATCACTCAATGTTAATGTTAATGAACATTTTTGATTAAGTCAACGTATGCTACATAATATAGACATAGTGCTGCAGTAATATTTAATATGTCTGTATTATTTCTGCGGAAATAATTGAGCTTTTGGGATAATTCATGGTAAGTCATTTGTTAATGCTTTTGCACTTTTAAATTTCATTTTAATGATTGATGGCTGAAGGGTGAGTAGAATAATATCACCCCATTGTACCCAGTTCTTGAAAATGCTTATTATTGCATTAATAGAGTGAAGCTTGACACCTATAATTCATAAAGCATCAGGTGTGTAGGAAAAAAGGTGGATAGGCATCATACGCTTTCCAACTTTGTAGAGGAAAAACTAGGCATCATCCAGTAAATGACTGAGGATCACACACTACCAGACTCTTTCTGAGAGTCTTTCCGAACATAACAAACTCACATAGGAACATGCATCTTTTTGCTTAAACGTGTATGTGTTTTGAAATATCAAACATGTTTTATGTACGCCGACTGGATGAAATCGTAGTCTGAAGTTAAAAGTCTGTGTCCATCTCCACAGACTATGCAATTTTCTGTGAAATCTGTCAACTCCAACAGTCCAAAATCTGCAGACTGGCTCTGACTTTCAACAGTTAGCGTTGACTCATCCAGGCTACAAATTAGGCAGAAAAACTGTGAATTTAGTGTACTCCAGCCTTTAGGGTGGTCCAAACTCTTATGGTTTTCTTTCTTAGAGCACAAAAGTAGATGGCTGGCCATTCCTTCCCATAGAATTGAATTGAAATGGGACTGAAACTTTCCAAACGGATGCAATAGCACCCAAGAAATCATCCACAAAATTTGTTATTATTTTTCAATAAGTCTTCAGAAGTCATATAATAGCTGTGTGTGAGGGACAGACAGAAATGTAGGTTATTATTTACTGAAAGTCTTATTTTGAACCTCACTGATGTAATCGCAACGGCACACTGGGGGAAGAAGGGTCTATAGTCCCTATTCATAGAAAGTTCCTTTTGAGCTCCGCTGGAGACATAAAATCATACAGGTTAGAAACAACAATGAGGATTTAGAATGAGTTACGTAAATACTGACAGAATTCATTGGTGAAGTTTAATAGAGTGCATTGGTTGTACTGATTGCTGATTGTGACTCTGCTGCCCCCTTTAGTATTGTCTGTGACACTACACACATGACATGAGGCAATATGGAGCTTATGCATCACTTCTTGATTTTTGTGTGTATGTGATTTGTTGCTCTTGTTAACCTGTAGGTGAAGGAAGCCATGCAGAGAATCCATGACAGAGGAAACATAGGGAAGCTGATTTTGGATGTGGAAAAGTCTCCCACGCCTTTGGTGAGTGAGTCATCCTAAAACCTGCCTTTGAATTTAGACCCGTGTTCTAAGGCGAGCAAAACATTATGTGCAGAACATTATAATTATCATGTCAACCATTGGTGCTGCCCTTTCATTTTTCTGTTTTCATGTCTTGCATTGTTCAGTTTTCTGACATCATTATTTTTTAGATTCGGTGTATCCAAAACTGTGAGGGAAAAAAAGTGATCTTTTATGAAGCACAAAGGCACATCTGAATAATACACCTGTTTACTTAAAGAAGGAACAGAAAAATGGTATTATGACAGTGATCCAAGTGTCGGGCGACATCACCTCAGCTGTTTCCATGGAGACTGCGCCTTGTGACGCTGTTCTCCGAAGAGACGTTCTGTGGAAATTGTGGCCTACAACAGCTTGCTTTCATGAAATCTACCTTTAGTGTTTTCGGAGCAACAGAAGAAGAATCTGATCAAATTGTTTTCCATTTTCTCCTTTCCCAGAAGAAGATTTGATTGTGTAGATGTTGATCTTCTAGCTCAGAAGCCTTGATCTACTGTGTCTTAGATGTTTCTCCTCAAATGAGGAAGGTGTTTGAAGCATCAGCTGATAATGTCTAAACTGTCGCTCATTGCTCAGGACCCTCAAGTGATAGTTTAACTAAAAACGAAAATTCTGTCATCATTTACCCATCATTTACTTTCTTCCTTCTGTAGAAGACTAAAGAAGATATTTTGAAGAACATTGTCTGAACAACATCAGGTTATTTTAGTATCACTGAGATTTTATTTATAGTTTTTATTAACAGTTTGAATTAGTTTTTAGTAGTGCTGTCAAAAGATTAATCGCATCCAAAATAAAAGTTTTTGTTTACATAATATATGTGTGTGTACTATAGTTTTTAGTTATATATTTTTCTTTTTTTATTTTAGATAAAGTTTTAGTAATTTTTGTGTATATTTTTGTCATTTTTATTATTATTTTAAATATGCCTTTATATATATATCTTTTCATTAGGAAAACTTGAAATCGCATCATATGACCCCTTTAAGATACAGGTAACTGTAATAACCATGAACAAAATCAGACTGTATTTTTCATTTTAATGGCTTTATACATTAAAAAATATTTTTATTCAATTCAATTCAATTTCAATTTGTTTATTTGTATAGCGCTTTTCACGATACAAATCGTTGCAAAGCAACTTTACAGCAAATTAAGTTTCTACAATATTTAGTGGTAGCTTATCAGTGGTGACTGTCAGTTAATGTACATATGGCAGAAATGTACGGAAAATCAATTAAAGACGTAATCAAACAGACGATGAACACTATTAACAGCAATTATTATATGATGCAATCAAACTTATAGCAAAATGTGGTAGTTCTGTATGTTGTTTTATGGTTTTATATTTAGTTTAACTTAACTATAATAAACCTAAACATCATTAGACTGCATTTACTTTAATTTTATGGACATAATAATAATAAAATTTACATTTTATTTCAGTATTGCTTTTACTTGATTATCTGTTATGTTTTGTAATTTTTGCTATTTGTCATTTGTTATATTTAAAGTGAATCGTTTTACATTGTTTGCTTTTGTGTAAAGAATGTAACTCTTAAAGGCACTATACAAAATAATTTTTATTATTATTATTATTCAATATATTATTTTGTGTTCCATATAAGATCGGACATCATACCGGTTTGGAACATAGCTGCTGTAGTTGTTAGTTATGTCTCTCTCTCTCTCTCTCTCTCTATTTTTCTGTGTTTAGGAGATATTTATATGTCTTATAGTTATAATATATGTATAGAATTTGAGATGTATTTGAGTGTTGAATTTTTTTAGTTCAATCCGATATCAGCAGTCCTCACAATTGTTGAGATCTCTGAAATGCTAGAGGAGATGCATGCCTGAGAGATTTCCTGCACCTCAGATCATTCTGAGAAGCTGTCAGTCTGTGTGAAAACACAATGATCTCTGATTTCTCTTTCAGATGGCCAATGACAGCACAGAGACCAGTGAGGCAGGTGAGGAAGAAGAGGAGCAAGAGGGAGACAATGACAACAAAGAGCGAATGCCCTTCATTCAGTGAAGCCAGACTCATCCAGAGACTTGTTCGGTCTGTTGTTTGTGTGTATCTTTGCCAGTTTTGGACAATGCAGTCAAAAATACTCCAAAACACTAAGTGTGTTGTTAAATGTTCGACTGAAGTGCCATTCTTAGTGCGGTGTTGAATTGTTGCAGTGTTTTAGACCAAAACGTTACTGTAGGATTGCCTTTTCATGAACGCCTTTTGCAGCCTTTCGGATGTTTTATTTGGCTCCGTCAGTCAGTGGATTGACAGATGACTGCAGTCAACGTCCAAAATTAATGCTTGCCAAGAGACAAATGGAAGTCAAAATTGGTTTTGGCAAGTAAATTAAACGCAGCAGTGGCTGGAAACATTATAAGGAACTGCAATTTAATACATGGTGTAGGTCTAACAGTAGGATATAAGTGACTTTAAGTCTTCAGATGTCATACAGGTTTGGAATGACATGAGGGTGAGTAAATAATGCCTACATAAAACCATTTTATCCATAAGGACAAAACTGGATTTTTACAAAAGCATTTTTATTCAATCGAAATAATACTATAAATGATCTCAATTCATTGTGCAGGTGTGGCAGGTTAATTTTGGACACCGTTGCAGTGCTTCTGATGCATTTGTGTGTGTGAAATGTTTCCTGACAGTTCTGGAGGTGAGTGAGAGTGTGAGACTGTGTGTTTATGACTGAAACTGGCAAAGAAAGGTAAAGGCAGAATTTGGCTGGAGCTTCTTGTTGTCATGTAGGTGATTGTTTGGGTCGCACATTTTTAGTGTGGCACTGTTTTTCTGCTCCGAGCATCTACGTTACTCTTGGTACATCTCCGATCACATTATTTAAGCCTTTAGAAAGACATTTAAATGAGTTGTCATGATCAGCTACTATATGTAATATACCCCTACAGTATTATGCATGCTCCTTAAAGAAAGAACTCACCTCAAAATTGAAATTCTGTCATCATTTACTCACCCTCATGTCATTCCAGACCCGCATGACTTTCTTACTTCTATGGAACAGAAATGGAGATATTTCGCAGATTGTTCATGCTGCTCTTTTCCATACAGTGGCCCAGGGGGTGAGTAAACAATGACACGGATGCTTTTGTTTTGGATGAACTGTCTCAGTAAATCACCAGTAAATGTTCTGATGTTAAGGTCAAAGCCAAGTATCATCAAACTAGTAACCAACAACAACAACAAAAAATAAATAAATAAATAAATAAAATAATTCTTAGTGCCTTTTGTCGCATATCTGCACTGAGGACCAGAAGGCTTGTCAATGTTTGTTTTTCTTTTTGTATTTCACACTTTAATGTCAAATATATTGAATGATTAAAATCTTTTCTGCTTACATATACCTCAGAAATGAAAATTGTGGTTGTGTTCTCAAGTTGTATTAGTTGTGCGTATATGTGAAGGTATGCTTTCTTTCATCTCCTCTTAAATTAGTAATTAGCTGGCTTTATAGAGAATATATATAAAAACAACCAGTCTGATAGTAATTGATCATGGCTTGCGCTCATCATTGTTCTTCCTTTTTTGAGTCGTTTCTTTACATTAAAAGAATAGTTCACCAAAAAAATGAAAATTTGCTTATAACTTACCCTCCAAGATGTAGAGGAGTTTACTTCTTCATTAGAACAGATTTGGAGAAATGTAGCATTACATCCCTTGCTCACCAATGGATCCTCTGCAGTGAATGGGTGCCGTCAGAATGAGAGTCCAAACAGCTGATAAAAACATCACAATAATCCACACCACTCCAGTCCATCAGTTAACATCGTATGAAGTGAAAAGCTGCTGTTGGTTAGAAACAAATCTGTCATTAAGGTGTGAACTTTAAACAATCACTTCTGGCCAAAATACTGACCAATGCAAAAATGGCTGACTTTTTCACTGGAGAAAGCAATATTATGGAGAGAGGACTCGTATTTTAGCTGGAAACACCTTAACGCCTTAATGATGGATTTGTTTCTTACAAACATGCTTCACAATACATTTAATTGATAGACTGGAGTGGTGTGCATTATTGTGATGTTTTTATTAGCTGTTTGGATTCTGATTCTGACGGCACCCATTCACTGCAGGGCATCCATTGGTGAGCAAGTGATGTAATGCTACATTTTTCCGAATCTGTTCCAATGAAGAAACAAACTCATCTACATCTTGGATGGAAATTTTCAGAAAAGTTTCATTTCTGAGTGAACTATTCCTTTAAGCAAGAATGGAATGACTTGCACATGAGCAAAAATGACTGATAATAATGACCTCGAACCCATTCACCCTCTAATTAGGCCCACAAATTAAGTGTTTTTTTGCTTGTTTCTTTATTGTACATGATATGAAAGGCACACATATATGACCGTATCTTTCCACATTTTCCTGTTTATTTTGGGTTACAATTGTTTTCTTTAAAGACTTGCCTTAAAGCATTATTTCTGATGTGTTAGTGGATCCCAGCTCAAGACACACAAAAGCATATTGTTGCTGTATAGTTTAAGTTTGAAGACGTGCTTTATGTGGTAGATTGCAAACACATAAAATCTGAATAAAATGTTGTGCAGAGCATTTCAATGCGGTGTTATTTGGTCTTTATGCCATTAAAATGCTTCTCCGCACATCAACCTCATAACATTTCACACGGCTCCTGTCTGATATTTTGCAGCAGAACTGGTAACACTGATTGAAACATGACAGACACAAATGTTTGTTTTTTCTTTCTCAGTAACCCTAGAGGTTACTCACAAATGGCACCGAGGACATTATCAAAGCATCACTTTGCTCTTTCCAGTTAAAAATATTGTGGTCAGTGGCCTTTTCAAGGTTTTGTTATTCAGAAATCTGAAATATGGCTGTGATAAAAGTGTATTTGACCTTTCCCGTGGATTTCTGACTGTCACTGCATTAATGGAAATATCTGCCAGAATAATTAAGTGTTTTTCTGAAAGACTACTTTTGACAGCCAATGATCTATAAGATTACCTGCCCCAAAATTAATATTTGAAAGAATTTCCGGGATTGAAGCTTGCTAGCTTCACAAATGACAAAAACAAAATTTGAGTATCATTTATGTATCATGATTTGCAATAAATATCATATTTCTAAATTATTTTTAAATTTTTATTTAATGTAACAGGCTGAAAAAACTCTGGTAACTCTTTACAGTATGGTGCCATTTGTTCAAATAAACTACGTAGCTAACATGAAATAATGTTAATTACTAAAACATTATTAAAATCAAATGTTGTATCTGTAATATTATTTGATGGATCTCAGCTAATAATAACAATAAACAACTATCTTCAACATAGAATAATAAATTATGTAACAAATGTATTGCTTAATATTATTTAATGGGCCCTTATTTTGAAGTGTTACCTGAAATTTAAATGATTATTGACTGAAAATGTTGACATCCTCAAATCATGAGCTATGAGAGTTCATGGAATTTGTTCTGATATTTCTGAATGAATTTTTCCTTTAAATCTAATCTTAGTTAATGTTTTTATAAGTCCGTGTCCTTTCTGCAGCTTGAAAACTTTTACAGTTGAGATTATATCGCTCATGAAACGTATAAATGTATCTGTCAAAATCTTTTTCTTTTGAAAATGAGAAGTAGTCTAGATGATCTGCAGGGCACATGTCATGTGTTTCAAAGACACGCAGTTAAAGATATTCCCTCTGGGCTGTTTGCTCTTTTTTTGCATCACGCTCTAAAATTAGCTGAGAACACTGAGCTCTGAACTGGACTTCCTTCCCTGATCAACAGCCCCTCTGTCTCCAACTCCCAACTAAAATCAATGTGCAGCTATTCATATCCTCTTTATGAACAAGTTATGCAACAAATTTGTTTAATACTTGGTGTAATTGATCTTTATGATTCAAAATATATGAATCTTTAATTTTGATTAAATTAAACAAAAATATTATTGATCTTATCAACATTTCTTGTTAAAACAAATGAAACTTTTAGATAAAATTAAATATATTTGTTACAATCTAATCAACAAAATAATGAAAACAAATATTGAAAATTTTATTGATTTGTCTAATCAACATTTAAAACAAATGAGATCAGAATAATTTAGTATGACCTAATCAACATTTATGATTAAATATGATTTGAAATATTTTGCATGGAATAAATTACTAAATTAAATGATATTATACTATTTAATTAATTAAATTATTAATACATTTAAATAATTTATAATTAAAACTTATATTTTTTATTTGAAATGTTTCAGATGGAATAAATTATGAAAATTTGCAGCATTGCAAAACATAACGAGTGAAGAAGAATGCTATGTAAATATAATAAAATGTACTCATTTTGAATCAGTTTCTTTCTGTTTGAAGTTCAGTTTTTTTTATTTTTTTCTGTGGATTATTCAAAATCTACTTTTTATAAATCACTTTTCACATTTCTTTAGAACAAACTGGTCAAAAGCAAGGAATTTATTTACAAAGGACTGCAAAACTGAAATATAAATGTAATTAATTTGACTTTTTTAAATCCATGCCACACATAAGGTGTGGTTAGTGAATGAAGTTTCTTGTTGGGTTATGAATGGGTAAACTCCCAAATGAATTTCATGTTCTTCCCAAGTAAATATTTATGAATGGCTGGAAACAGGGGATTGGTTGTTGTGACTGCACTGAAGGCATTTCAATTCCCTTTATGTACACAAAAACACCGAATGTCCAGCCAATAGCCTGAGAGTAAAAAAGAGAGAAAACTGTAAGACTTGTCCACTTTCTCTCAGTGATTTGCACAGCTCGTCTGTGACCATGGCACAGTCTCGGCTTCTGCTGTTAGTGATCTGCTTTAGTGTCCTCCAGTTCGGATATGGCCATCCCTCTCGCTCCAAAAAAGCAGTTCCAGCTCGACAGAGAGGTAACTTTTATGTCAGGACTGTATGTATTTCCTTAGCTGCAGCAAATCCTTTAGAACTCTTAGATTCAATCAAGCTTTTGTAATGTATTGAATATTTGATCTGACCTCTGGTGTGTCGTTCTTCTGTTGAGATACAGCGACAGAGGATGAGGACACGAGGGCACAGATTGACAAGCTGTGGCAGGAAGTCAATTCCCTGAAAGAGATGCAGGCGCTGCAAACAGGTAAACAGTTGTACATGATTGATTTCATTTAAAAAGCATGATAATGCTGCAGATCATTATTTAAAGGGGTCATATGACGTTGCTAAAAAGAACATTATTTTCCTGTTTCACACCATAAGTGGCAGCAGTGCATATTGTTAACAAATGAAAGTTGACATCAGAAGTGTCTCTGTGAAAGAGAAGTGCGCTTAATATTGTAGTGTACTTCAAATCTTAAAAGTATTTTTCATACAACTACTTGCACATAATATAATATTAATGGAATATAATGCCACTTATGTGTACTTACAACTTTCATACAATGTTTCTTAACACACTTAAGTATACTTTTAAAAAGTGCACTTTGTAATGATGTTAAATTAAAAGTTTTGCTTTAAAATAGCTTTTACGTCATTAGGTTTTCATACATTTTTTAATGCTTTAAAGAAGTATGCTTATTTTGATGTGTTGACTAACATAAAGCACATGTAAAGTACTTGATTATAATTTAACTGCAGTGTTTGCCAAACCGGAAAAAGCTGCGGTTTTAAAAATAACCGCGTTCGTGTGGACAGGGCCTGAAATCGCTTGTTCTGAGAGACTGTTTATAATTTATTGGGATTATAAAAAAATGACTGGGTGGATTTTTACCATTATAGGCTGATTGTTTTCACACACTGCGGCCACACAACTGTGTTCAAACGCCTTATAAAAGTGATTTTTGAATTGCAGTAACAGTAAAAATGCTTCATAAATAAATATAGCAATATTTTTGTCACTGATTATTTGATATTCACATTGTAAGGCATGTGTGAAACTGCTATAAACCAGTGTACATGAGTGAATGTGTTTTATATGTTTCAGTTTGCCTGCGTGGCATCAAAGCCCACAGGAAGTGTTACCTGCTTTCTGAGCAGGCCAAGCACTACCATGAGGCCAACGAGGACTGCATCGCACAGGGAGGGACCCTGGCCATACCTCGAGACATCAACCAGAACGATGAACTCACAGACTATGTCAAACGCAGCTCACCCGCATCCAAAGATTTCTGGATCGGCATAACAGACATAGTGAAGGAAGGCCAGTATGTGGACGTGAACAGCCTGCCTGTCACTTTCTTCCACTGGGATCGTTCCAAGAGAGAGCCGACCGGAGGGAAGAGAGAGAGCTGCGTCGCGCTCTCGCTGGCAGCACAGGGAAAATGGCACGACGAGGTCTGTCGCAGTCAGAAGAAATACATCTGTGAATATCTGATCCCATGATGTGTATGGCGCATGACATCAAGATGCATGTTAAATGGCAGCCTGTCATTAAGCTGCTCATTAAAAATGAAACACTTAGTGGTAATGTATGATGTGTCCTCTTTATTCACTCGAATGGTAGAGGAACACAACAGAAACTTGCTCAGGTTTACAGTGCTTGTTTAGTTAATATTAAGGCAATAATATTATGTTTTTTTCGGGATGATGGTATCTTGTACAATTTTTTAACATTTTGAACATGAACATTTTGACTTCGCAATCAGATAATTCTGACAATTTTTAATATTTTGCACTATCATCTGTTGAGGTCAATTGTTTAAAAAAAAAAACTGATGACCAAAAAAAACAAAAAAACAACAAAAGTTGTTTTTCAGATGAGGTATTTATATAGATTGGATTATATCAAACATCAAACTTTTATTTGTTTGTTTATTTATTTATTTACAAAACAAGAGAGGCAGCATTCCAACACTACAACCATAATGAATGAAGACAAAACACAAACCATAAAGAAAGATTATACAAGAATAAAATGAAATAAATCACCCCTGAGTAAACATTAGAGGATTTGACTTCAGGAAAATCTTGTCTCAACATTTTTGTTAAGTGTAACTAATTACTAAATGAATTAAACCTAATAAAAAATATGTAGACATTTAAAAAAACTAATAAAAATGACAATAACACACTCCGAAATGATTAAAATGTTAAATAAAACTATAGTAAAAACAGAAAACAAAACCAGAAACATTATTAAGAAACATAATAAATGATACAAAACACTAAGGTATATGGACCTTTTTTATAATTTATACTTTTTAAAAGGTTATTGTTTTATTATAACAGTATAATTATAAATGCTGGGAAAGAAGAGAACACATTAAAACCACGTTGGCATGCATTATATATATATATATATATATCCTCCTGAGACGCAGCTATGGAGTTTTTGCCTCTGTAGTGGACATTATATTTTAGTGCATTTCTCTGAGACCTCACATGTCACAGTTTTAAGTCTGGATGTCCTGTACAGAGCACATTCAGGGCTTTCTTT